CTATAGCGCCCCCTCTAAATAGTGCCTCCCTCTCTATAGCACCCGATTTTAAATATGTAGTACGATGCGATTTACATTAAAAGTAACCTGTCTATAGCACCCCCTCTCTATAGCACCCTATTTTGATGAGTCCCAAGAGGGGGCGGTATAGACAGGTTTAACTGTATATACAAATTATTTATAGTTTTAGAGAGAGAGAGTTATTTAAATTTACATTTCATATTAACAACATCCATGCTGAACCTACTCAGTATACAATGTGGCATTAGCTCTGAAAATCCAATTGCACCATAGCATGGAGTTTTTATAAAATAGTGTATGAAACCTGGGTTTGATCATTACTGAGTGTCTTGTGATAGCTACATGGTTCAAACTTTATTATAATATTTTATATAAGACACAATACAATAAATACACCTCCGCCTTTGCCGGTCCCAAGCCCGGATGAAAAAGGAGGAGGGGGACCAGTAACAAGCTCGCTAAAAAACCTGGGCTCAGCTGGCCCGGCTGATAGTACCCTGTAAGGGCTCCTAATCCAGGGATACAGTATGAGCAGTCTGTACTCCATGTTAGAAGCGGCTGCACATGGTGTCTGTTCCTCATGTCAGAGGCAGCCATCTCTTTTGGAGCTAAGTCGGCCTGCCACTGAGTAGTGCTCCCAGTCTTAATGACAAAGGCAGACGCATTCTACTTCACACAGTCATGATGGTTGTCAAACAAGCTTGATACCCTGATGTGATTGAGTGGAGATAAGAAAGAAAACAATAAATACGGCACAAGTTATAACTCTGTCCTATTGTAGATTTATTGTATCGTGGTTTTTTCTCCTGTAGAAGGGCTTTCATGCCTGGAAGTTAGAGATTTGTGAATTGAAATTTTTTACAAAGAAACCTATCCCTGGACACATGGGATTATTTTATTGAATATTGAGTTGGGACAGAGCGTCTTATACTTTTTTTTTGTAATTTGTCAAAATTCACAAACCTGTGATAACTTTTTTTTTTAATATCCCCCTAGTATACGTGGTACAGGCCATAATAATCATGGTGTGTACAAGTTGGCGACTGCCTTTACTGTACATGCACCACATATCTACACATGTGAAAAACAGTTATACTTTGTACTTACACTTGGTTACTTTCACTCGCTGGTGGGATTGGACTTTTGCAAGAATTGAGGGCCATTGGCATCCTACAATTGAACAATTAATTTGCAAGAAAAGAGTCAGTGGACGAGTGGTTAAATCCCTCGATTCCCGACAGTCATGAACAGGGATTGAATTCCACGTTAACATTTTGTTTAATATGTGAATAACCCTCACATATTATTCATTGTTGCAATTATCATAAACTAGGTTGCCCTTTTTGAGCAGTACCTAATAAATTGATTTTGGAACAAGGAATTAATTTGCAGCTCCTCTGTGCATACATATGACATGATAAAAAATCAAAGAAGGCATCTCCTGACCACGAGCACATGTGCTTTTTAGATGGCAGAGCGCCATTTTGTGGAGCAAAAATAAACTAAACGTTTATTTAGCTTGCTCCGTGATATTTGGCCAACCCAATTTCTTGATAAATCAAGAAAAGCCATCCATAAACGCATTCTGCACTCGTCAGCGTGGAGTAGGCTGTAACCACTGCGACCAAAAAGATTTTTGGTCCCAGAGGCTTCTGGAGAAATCAAGAAATGGGTATTTAAGGCCAAATTTGCGTAAAGACGCTTAACACATGAACATATAGTTTATTTTTGCTCCACTAGATGGCACTCTGCCATCTAAAAAGCACATGTGCTCGTGGTCAGGAGATGCCTTCTTATTTTTAATATCAACACCTGACCCACTTATCTTTTATTTTTTTCTATTGTTTTTTCATATGACATAATATGTACCACATAGCAAAGTCAATTTTCAATTTGAGGGTGAATGGAGATTTACGATCAAACCACAATCGACCCTATTCCAATATATAATTCCAGGAGGTAAAGCCAACCGGTTTTAAAGATTGCTCCCAATTCAAAAATTTATATTTTAAAATTATCTAACCCTTTGTTTATATTGGTTGCCACATAATGCTAGGGCTGCAGTATCCATAAACATTTGAATAAGGAAAACTAGTTTTTTAGGCAAAGCTTTATTTTTAGGTGTTGTAAGTTTTCAAGTATGCAATAAATGAAGAGAGATACAGTAGAACCTCCATGAGATGACACTCTCGCTAAAGGACACCTCTCTACAAAGGACAGTTTTCATTTTCAAATTTACCATTTTTACTATTTAGCAACTCTCCGGTAAAAGGACACCTCTCTACAAAGGACAGTTTTCATTTGCAAATTTACCATTTTTACTATTTAGCAACTCTCCGGTAAAAGGACACCTCTCTACAAAGGACAGTTTTCATTTACAAATTTACCATTTTTACTATTTAGCAACTCTCCGGTAAGAGGACACCTCTCTACAAAGGACAGTTTTCATTTGCAAAATTAAGATTTTTACTATTTAGCAACTCTCCGGTAAAAGGACACCTCTCTACAAAGGACAGTTTTCATTTGCAAAATTACTATTTTTTCAATTTAGCAACTCTCTGATAAGAGGACATCTCTCCCTAAAGGACACTTTGGCTCTGCAATTAGATGTCCTTTACAGGGAGGTTAAACTGTACAAGAAAATAAGACCTAATCCAAATAAATTAATAGTGTGTGATGTTTCAGTAACAGCATTGTTACCATCATTTCTTGTAGCTATAAACTATAATCCAAATTGTGCTTTATCAAATGAAGAGAGATGTTTATTGGATGTGGATCAGAGACTATATTACAGTGCAAGAGATAAGTCACCCAGAAATATTTGAATAAAGAAGCTTTGTGGGGTTTTTGGAATTTCCCGTTGAAGATCAAAATTTTCTCTAAAGCTTGCAACATCTCTAAATGAAGAACGGCTTTGGTCCAAAAAACTTTTTCCTTATTCGAATACTTATGGGGAACTATTGCTCATATAAAATAATCCATAAACATAATTAAGACATCAAAGTCCCTCTTCAACTTCATATAGTTTAAATCAATTTACATTTTTGTGATTATCTTCTTCTTCTTTCTTATCTCCACACTGGGTGAAGTAGAATGCGTCTGCCTTTATCATTAAGATGGAGAGCACTACTCAGTGGCAGGCCGACTTAGCTCCAAAAGAAATGGTCGCCTCTGGCATGAGGAACAGACGCCATGTGCAGCCGCTCCTAACATGGAGTACAAATGCTACTCATCCTGTATCCCTGGATTAGGAGCCTTAACAGGGTACTATCAGCCGAGCCAGCTGAGCCCAGGTTTTTTAGTGAGCTTGTTACTGCTCCCCCTCCTCCTTTTTCATCCGGGCTTGGGACCGGCAAAGGCGGAGTTTTTGTGATTATTATTTTTTACAATTAAATTAAATATGCTTTTTTATTGTTTGAACCACCATGATTTAATACGGTTAAAATATAATATACACAAAAAACATGAATTTGAAAATTATTGAAATAAAAAAAATACAACAACTTGAGTACAAAAATAGCATTTCAAGGCTTGGTTACTAAAGAAATTCTTGTAATACTTTTGTCTGAATATGATAACAAAACTGTTACTGAAACGTCACACACTATTTATTTGGATTTGGTCTTATTACCTTGTGTGTATAATCTATAATCCAAATTGTGCCTTATCATTAAATAATTTTTTTTTCCTAATCCATCATTTGATAGCTTAAACCAACTCACACAGACCTCCTAGTATATTGATAAGGCACAATTTGGATTATCTTCTATATATATATAAATCAATGTATGTTTGTTTGTATGTCCGGTATAAAAATTCGCAGTAGTTCACTAATTCAAACCAAAATTTCCATACATAATTTAAAAAATACGGGGAGGACGATAGGGTATTTTAAAAAATATATAAATCAATTATTAAAACTATATATTCAAATTGTTCTACTTAGCTCACGAACAGCCCCCTCTATCAACGATTAAATTATGCATCTTCTCTTCTTTCTTATCTCCACTCAATCATATTAGGGTATCAAGCTTGTTTGACAGCAAATTAAATTATGCTGATGCAAACAAATAGATAATGCTAATAACAAACAATTATAAAAAAAAATCTTATCTAAATATATATCACTCGGGTAGATATGCACACGGGTCAATCCCGGGGCGAAGCCCGGGTCACCCGTCTAGTAGATTATAAACACAAGGTAATAAGACCTAATCCAAATAAATGAATAGTGTGTGACGTTTCAGTAACAGCATTGTTACCATCTTCAGACAAAAGTACTGAATGAGAAATTTTACCACAGCATGTTTTAAATAGTAACTGCTATCTTGTTTACACACTTGATAACAGTAACTATTTAAAACATGCTGTGGTAAAATTTCTCATTCAGTACTTTTGTCTGAAGATGGTAACAACGCTGTTACTGAAACGTCACATACTATTTATTTATTTGGATTTGGTCTTGGTACCTTGTGCTCCTAGTATATTGATGACATGCTGTTGTAGATATACAGAAATCATCCATGTCTGTGTTACAATGGAGCATTCATACGTTTGTCCTCTCACTGGAGCGGACATACTACATCTTTTCTTGCTACTTTTTTACCCCCTGTTAAGCCCTTCTTTTATCTCTCTCTTTTTTCTTTCCAATTTTTTTTCTTGATCTTCTCTTTCTTTTAGTCTCTTTTTTTCTTCTTTAACATTTATAGTGTTTCAGGTTTTTTTTTTGCTTATCCCTAGTACACGTGGTACAGGCCATGGTAATCATGGTGGGTAGAAGTAGGCGACTGCTTTTACTGTAAGTGCACCACATGTCTACACATGTGAAAAGCAGTTCGACTTTGCACTTACAAATGTACCAGAGCCACGTTTGGTTACTTGCACTCGCTGGTGGGGTTGGACTTTTGCAAGAATCAGGGGCCATTGGAGCATTTTTTTTTGTTTCAGGTAATAAATTTGACTCCTATGCGATATTGCCTATGGCCATACCACATTGAAAACACCGGTTCTCGTCCAATCACTTAAGTTAAGCAACGTCGGGCCCGGTCAGTACTTTGGGACCACCGGGTGCTGTAGGCTATTACCTTTTGTGTACTAGGGATAATTTTAAAAAAAGATCTTATTTGATTGGAATTTATCAGAAGTGATGATAAACGAGGAGTTTTGAGAATTATATATTCTATTCTACACTTTTTCTTGCTCCAGAACTGATAATACACTCCATATTGTGGAATTCCATTAGTTAAGAAGGTCTGGTCATGCTGATGATTTTTTCTTCCATCAAAGTTTCCAATCAAACTGATATAAATGTGGGAGGCCAGTGTCTTGATTGTTTTGGAAGTCATGTTTGTCTGGTAGAGGATGAGAGCATTGAGCACATAGATACCCCACATCCTTATAAACACAAGGTAATAAGACCAAAAATCCTAATAAATTAATAAATAATCTTATTACTTATAATCTTATTACCTTGTGTTTATAATCTTATTACCTTGTGTTTATAATCTATAATCCAAATTGTGCCTTATCAACCCACATCCTTATGTTCACAAAATATTTCCTCCACCACTCCATGTACATTCTTCCATCAATATATGTACCAATACCTCCCATTATACACTTGAACCATTAGAGAACTTCCAGCCACTGTTATCACCTCAGTGGTATCTCCAGCTTTGGTCCATTCTCTATACCAAGATATTGGACTCATTATGTTTAGTATCAATAACCAGCTGAGCCTAAATACCAGCCTCATCTATTGAGAAACCAGCCTAAAATGGCCTATAGCAGGGGTCAGCAATCTGTGGCTTGCGAGCCACATGCGGCTTTTTAGAAGCTGCGGCTCTTTATAAAGTTCCATAAGCAAATATTTTTTATGCGAGTAGTAATTATTTTTGGCCATAAAAAATGTTGTGGCTCTTTAAAAACTTAAATATTTTGTAAATTGTCATTTTTGACGCTTCTGACACAAAAGATTGCCGACCCCAGGCCTATAGCATCCCATGGTGGGGCCATAGTGAGGGAGGGAGGTGTAAATCGAGGGGAAGGTCCTTGTGAAGGGAAGACCTGAATCCACTGAACTATTTGTTCCTAACTTCTTCATCAAAAATTAAAAAAATGCTCCAATGGCCCCTGATTCTTGCAAAAATCCAACCCCACCAGAGGGTGCAAGTAACCAAACGAAGCTCTGGCACATTTGTAAGTGCAAAAAGTCTAACTGATTTTCACCTGTGTAGAGTAGAGTAGAGTCACTTACTACCCCCCCACCATGGTCTGTACCACGTGTACTAGGGATATATAATAAAAAAAATCAACTAAAGTCACACATCAGTATCTTTGGAAAAAAAGAACTAATGTGGTCAAAGTGAGAGGTGTTGGAGAGTTGTGTCATGTTGAAAGAAAGGTCAGGAGAATGACAACACAGGGAGAACAGATCCAAACATTCAACGCCCCCATAAACATATAACAAGATGGTCCCATTGGAGCCATTCCCTCAGAGCCTTCTGCACTGACCAAGCCCATTATATTGGCTCTCCACAACCTAAGGCTTAACATTCAAATGTAAGTATGTATATATGGTCAGTTTTATACACTACAGTAGAACCTCCATGAGAGGACACCTCTCTACAAAGGACAGTTTTCATTATCAAAATTACCATTTTTACTAATTATCAACTCTCTGGTAAGAGGACACCTCTTCTTAAAGGACACTTTGGCTCTGTAACTAGATGTCCTTTACAGGGAGGTTTTCTGTATTTATATATCAACTTTAATAATAATATATAATGACAAAATAAGAAATAACAGCAAAAATACAAAATCTATGTCCTCTGGCTTGTTCTTAAATTTGAAATTGGCTGAACACCATTTTTTTTTTTTCAGCTTATCCCTAGTACACATGGTACAAGCCATGATAATCATGGTGGGTAGAAGTAGGCAACTACTTTTAATGTAAGTGCACCACATGTCTACACATGTGAAAAGCATTTTGACTTTTGCACTTACAAGTGAGCTGTTTGGTTACTTGCACTCACTGGTGGGGTTGGACATTTGCTAGAATCGGGGGCCATTGGAGCATTTTTTTTTTATTCAGAAAAAAGCGCCCAATGTGGAATTCAACCCCGGGTCATAGTGGTCAAAAACCAACAGTTTAGACCATCCTTCCACCGACCCCCTGAACACCATTGTTGAATGGGTAGATGTGTGCGTCAGCCCAACCTTTCTAAGATCAAAACTGACTCGAAGCCAGGCCTCCTTCATGGAAGGTTTTACTGGGATTCTGAATGAGGAGAACATCTTGATGCCATTCTAGCTGTTGATTCTAATGGAATTTATATCAATCTGAATAAACTTATTATCCCTAGTACAGGTGATAATAATCATGGTGGATAGTAGTTGGAGACTGCAAGTATGCCACAGGTCTCTACACACGTAGAAAGCAATTTTGCACTAACAATGGTTTCAGAGGTCTGTTTGATCACTTGCTGGGTTGGACTTTTACAAGAATTGGGGACCATTGGAGCAATTTTGTATTCAGAAAGAGTGAAATGCAAGGAATTGATCCCTGGTTGTTGGAAATGGACAGTTTATACCATTTATCTGCAGAGAGTCCAGGAGAGTGAATTGAATGGGAAGAGAATGGTCGAAAGAAGGATTTCAGCTGTGGACTGGAAGCTATGAAGAAAGAAAGAGATCACCACAGCAGATCTAGGGATGACAGTGGAGTGTTGTTGCAAGAACCAGGAGGAGTTGATGAGAATCAAAGGATGAATTCCACTTACCCTGTAGGCCTCTGTGATTTCAGCCATTTCTTTTGTGGCCTGTTTTCTTGAGCTCAGATCTGGATGGTGCTCCTTACATTTCTGGAATAAAACACCATAGATACTGGTAAACTGCCTGATGCTTTGTGGATACACAGATTACAAAATAACATCTGGTAGTACAGTAGAACCTCCATAAGAGGACACTCACACTAGAGGACACCTCTCTGCAAAGGACAGTTTTCATTTGCAAAATTACCATTTTCACTAAACACAAGTTAATAAGACCAAATCCAAATATATTTTTATTATTTATTTGGATTTGGTCTTATTACCTTGTGTTTATAATCTATAATCCAAATTGTGCCTTATCATTTTTACTATTTAACATACTATTTTCTACTGTATGTAGAGATGAAACTCTGGATGCCAAGTGTCACCATCAAGAAACCCAGGAATGGCAGTGTTGTTGCTATAACTACCATCCAAGTTTCAAACCTAGGTTGGCCGGCCAAAGTTCGGCTGAGTGTATTGAAACCATCTTCTTTAGAAGCCAGATTTTAGAGATTTTTGACCAAGTGTGAACAAAACATCATTAAAATTTTTCACATTTTTTCAAATATTGCATTTTGTAATTGAATAAAATAATTCTGAGTATAATAATATCAAAATTGGTTATATAAATAAAATGTTTAGTTTTCTTTATCAATTCATTTTCATGTTGAAACCTTTGTATTTAGTAAATTTTGAAAAAATCAAATGCTACGTGTGTTAAGTAGGTTAGCTTCAGATGGGTTATGTATATTATGTATATGGGGTATATATTAGGTTTGTTTCAGATTGGTGTAAAATTAGGTTAGTCTAATTCACTATTGAATTAGTTTAGTTTCAAATGGATTATATTAGGTTAGTTTATAGCTTAAGTTAGTTTCACTTAGGTTAGTTTTAGTTAGCTTAGTTTCAGATTGGAAAAATTAGGTTAGTTTTAGTTAGCTTAGTTTCAGATTGGAAAAATTAGGTTAGTTTTAGTTAGCTTAGTTTCAGATTGGAAAAATTAGGTTAGTTTTAGTTAGCTTAGTTTCAGATTGGAAAAATTAGGTTAGTTTTAGTTAGCTTAGTTTCAGATTGGAAAAATTAGGTTAAGTTCACTTAGGTTAGTTTTAGTTAGCTTAGTTTCAGATTGGAAAAATTAGGTTAGTTTCACTTAGGTTAGTTTTAGTTAGCTTAGTTTCAGATTGGAAAAATTAGGTTAGTTTCACTTAGGTTAGTTTTAGTTAGCTTAGTTTCAGATTGGAAAAATTAGGTTAGTTTCACTTAGGTTAGTTTTAGTTAGCTTAGTTTCAGATTGGAAAAATTAGGTTAGTTTCACTTAGGTTAGTTTTAGTTAGCTTAGTTTCAGATTGGAAAAATTAGGTTAGTTTCACTTAGGTTAGTTTTAGTTAGCTTAGTTTCAGATTGGAAAAATTAGGTTAGTTTCACTTAGGTTAGTTTTAGTTAGCTTAGTTTCAGATTGGAAAAATTAGGTTAGTTTCACTCTAATACGTAAATACTTCCCTCTAATAGGCAAATAAATATTTTATTAAATCCAATATATGCCCAAGGTAATAAGACCAAATCCAAATATATAGTATGTGACTTTTCGGTAACAGCATTGTTACCATCTTCAGACAAAAGTACTGAGAATTTATTTGGTCTTATTACAGTATAACCCCGTTAATTCGACACACACAAATTCGACACTCTACCTTAATTCGACCATATTCTGATGTCCCGACCTCCGGCCTATCAAATAACAAACCGTAATTAGACAGTATCGATAATACGACAGTTCCGATAGTTCAACTATTTTAAAATTCGAATTTTGACAGTTGAATGTTTTTTTACAGACAACTTTACCGCTAAACAGGTATTACGGCAGCGGCAATCGGCGGGCGCCGATAGAATCACGCCTGCACACTTTTGGTTTATGTTAGTTTAAGTTTCACTTTGCAGTGCCGTTGCGCAATGTCACGAGTGTTGTTTGTTTTTTACGCAGGAATTTAGGCATTGTGCGCTAATTAATAATATTATTTTATTTTTAATTTTCAGCATTGAAATATTTTAGTTGTTTTAAAATTTACAAATAATTTCCTTTTAAATAAATAAATCTTCATAAAATGTAGCCACAATGATTATGATAACATTTTATTTCAATATTTCATTTCCGTGTTATTATAAAAGATTTAAACACAAAATCAAGAACACCTGCAGAAGCAGTGGATGTCTTTAATACAATAAAAACACTTTGTTATTTAAAACACATTCCAGAGGAAGAAAGGC